TCCCCGTGCTCCCCGTGCTCCCGTGCTCCCCGTGCTCCCCGTGCTCCCGTGCTCCCCGTGCTCCCGTGCTCCCCGTGCTCACCGTGCTCACCATGCTCCCCGTGTCCACTGTGCTCACCGTGCTCCCCGTGCTCCCCGTGCTCACCGTGCTCACCGTGCTCACCGTGCTCCCCATGTCCACTGTGCTCACCTGCTCACCGTGCTCCCCGTGCTCCCCGTGTCCACTGTGCTCACCGTGCTCACCGTGCTCCCCGTGTCCACTGTGCTCACCGTGCTCACCGTGCTCCCCGTGCTCACCGTGCTCCCCGTGCTCCCCGTGCTCCCCGTGTCCACCGTGCTCACCGTGCTCCCTGTGCTCCCCGTGCTCACCGTGCTCACCGTGCTCCCCGTGCTCCCGTGCTCACCGTGCTCCCGTGCCCCCCGTGCTCCCCGTGCTCCCCGTGCTCACTGTGCTCCCCGTGCTCCCCGTGCTCCCCGTGCCCACCGTGCTCACCGTGCTCCCGTGCTCACAATGCTCCCCGTGCTCCCCGTGCTCACCGTGCTCCCCGTGCCCACCGTGCTCTCCGTGCTCCCGTGCTCACCGTGCTCCCCGTGCTCCCCGTGTCCACTGTGCTCACCGTGCTCACCGTGCTCCCCGTGCTCACCGTGCTCCCCGTGCTCCCCGTGCTCACCGTGCTCCCCGTGCCCACCGTGCTCTCCGTGCTCCCGTGCTCACCGTGCTCCCCGTGCTCCCCGTGCTCCCGTCCCTCCTTGTTCGTTGCTGCCCGCCTGAGCGTCACCTCCTCTGGGGAGGCCGCCCTGGTCGGCTGCTCTCCTTCCACACAGCTCTGTCAAATATGAATCACGTTCAGTTACAACGTGCCCCCTTTGCTGGGTCCCACCTGCCTGTGTGCAGCCGGGAGCCGCAGCAGAGGCCGTGGAGGGTGCTCCTCACCGGCCTGCTCAGCCTGCCCTCCTCAGGACTCAGGACCGCCCGCCCCCGGCCCCGCCCCAGTAGCCGCCCCCCATCAATGGCGCCCCAGACAGGCGATCTGACGAGGCGTTCTCAGCTCAGGTTCCCGCTTCCCAGCTGACCCAGCCTTGCGTCCGTGACGAAGCAGCAACCACGGCACAAGCTGACCGGCACACTGCGATCGAACCCAGAGCCCCGCGAACGCTGGGCAGGCGCCACAGCACGGAGCTGCCTCCGCTCCGACACGGGGTTGTGTGACACACGCTGGTCCCCACGTGCTAATTTTCCCAAGCCTCTAACTTCAAGACGCTAGGCCGGTGCCTCTTTTCTAAAGCTGCCTTAGGAAACAGGAAATCCATCTTCAGTGGTTTACTTTAAGTGGCATTTCCTGTGCTCAGATCTCCCACAATACTCGGCACGGAACCTGCCTCAAGTCTTCAAGGTTCAGTGCGCTGCACCACGGCAGGGGGAGATCAGGGGACCCAGGCGGAGGTCAGGGGACCCAGGCGGAGATCAGGGGACCCAGGCGGAG